GTCAATAAGGATTTGCATGTTTCCTTCTACAAAATTTGCTGTCTGATAAATGCATTGGCTGAGATTAGGCATGGTACTGAACACTGAATAGAGAATTTGTAGAAAACCCTTTCTCTGATGTGCGAGAGAGTGACCTTTTCTCTGCCTTCCTGCCTTGAAGCTCCTCTTCATTAATATTTTGAACTCAAATCTACCTTGAAAATAAAGATCTATAACCCCACCACAAATCCCTACCTTTTTGTTTTTACAGTTCATCGATGCAATTGGAACATCTGGCACCCTGCCAGGTAATCTAAATGGACTGGATCTCCTCCTTCCCCCACAACAATATGCATCCAAACCATAACCTTTCTTGGACAGTGTTTTGACAAGCTAGGGGTGACCTGCTCCTTTATCATTAAAGCCCTACACCACAAAGATGGTATAGGGCTATTCCACCGCTAAAGAATTTTCTGGTTTACAAGCTAGATTGCTGCCTTCAGAGACAGATGATGCTGAATGACTAGACAAGATAATAACCAGTACCCACAATAGATCTAGTATCTACTGAGCTTTACTGGATTTCAACAAAAACAAGAGTGTATTCATGCCTCAAAGGGAAAAAAAGTGTTTTATATACTGTGCCATAGTGCTTAAAGCCCTCTCTGGGTGCTTTACAAGTTAATTATGCAGGCTACACATTGCAACCCCCCCCTCCAAGAACTGGGTACTCAAAGTTTTTTCCCAATAACGTCTAACTGAAGCCTAAGATCCTCTTTCACAGACCATCCTTTCTGCAGTGAGCCCTGTGTGCATTCTCATACCCAAGACATTCTTCATGGGAGCAATATCTAAGGAGATGCCTGTTCACTTGGTATGCTTGAGCGTGTGGGGAGCACATGTGCCTGAAGAGGAGCGTGCTAGCCCTTCCCCCTCTCATCTTTTTAGTCACAGAGACATGACTGTCTGAGGCGAGGAAGGGGTAGCCTCTCCGTGAGAGCCAGAATCCTGATTTTTAGGACAGTTGCATCTTATATGGAGAGGCAACCTGGGCACGGCAGCCTCTTCTTCAGACAGTCACAGTTCTTAAAAGAAATGGCAAAAGGATGCAGGGCTAGTGCGGCCCTCTCAGCATGCATGGACTCCGTGTGCTTTTAAATCAAAACTCAGTAAGGTTTCAGTTACACCTACTTTCTTGGTTTTATCTGGAAGTCTGTGAGAGAGACTGTTGACTTCCCTTGCTTAAACAAAGTTTCTGTATTTGGACAATTGGCCCTATTCGAGAACCCTCAGTTAAGATCTACGGCGTTATTAGGCTTGGCCCCAGAAAAATCTAAAGCACTTATATTTTTAATATTTCCATAGAAATTGGCCAATAGATCGTTGGCAACTGGAGAGCTCGGTGGTTTAGATATCTGGCTGAGGAGCCTGAGGTCAAGAGTTCAATATTCTATTGTGCCTCCTTGACAGGGGCTTGGACTCGATGATTTATAGGGTCTCTTCCAGCTCTGCACTTCTAAGAAACTGGGATTTCCAAGCAGCTGGTTATACTAGGGTGTTTCAGGAGGTTCATCTTGACTAGTGGTTACCTATCAGTAATTCTTTTGTATGGGGAATTGTGGTAAAGAATTCCACCAGAAGATAAAGTCCCTTCTGCTTCAAGCTCTAACTTACTCTAAGGGGTAAGAGCAGCTGGGGGCTGCATTGTGGGTTAAATATCAATGGAAAGCTCAAAAATTTTTATGTCGCAGCTGGGCTCCTGATACACCTCGTTAATAGGTCTGACATCCATCCATACAAATTTCCTGGTTCAAATATCAGTATTAAGGTAATACATTTGAATCAGTGAAATTGTATGTGTGTGTGTGTGTATGTGTGTGTATATATATATATACACACACAAATTTAACACACACACACACACACACTTGTGTGTGTGTGTGTGTGTGTGTGTGTGTGTGTGTGTGTGTGTTAAATTTGTATACCACACCAATTGGTGCTGGGCAGTAATATGGCTTCCTTTGCTTTTTGATTAATTTTAGTGGTGGCAAAATCCAGAGTACAGATCCCCAAAGCATTAACTAGGAAGGTTGTTGTGGGTTTTTCGGGCTCTTTGTCTGTGTTCTGAACCTTCAGAACACGGCCAAAGAGGCAAAAAAACCCCTTCAGAACACGGCCAAAGAGGCAAAAAAAAACCCAACAACAAAAAAACAAAAACAAAAACAAACCACAACAACTATTAGATCCCGGCTGTGGAAGCTTTCGTGAATACATTAACTAGGAAGCTTTGAATGGAACCAGTGAATCCGCTTTCCTGGGCCGGAGAGACCTAAGAGGGCACAATGGATATTTAACTGTACTGTTTTTGGAGGAAAACATTCTAGGCAGATTCTCACAACACTAACCCTCAGCTATCACATATACAGGCAGCGTGATGGACATCAGTGATCCCATCTTTGTTCTTCAAATGGATGTTGACCATTGTTAGAACAAGGAGACTAGCAGCTGATTCAGCCATTTGAAACAAGGATGACCCATGGGATCTGACAGCATTCTTTGGAGCTAAAAGCAAGAGGAGTAAGAGAAAAGACCTCCTTGGTACCACTCTTTTGCCTATACAGTGGTGCCTCGCTAGACGATGATAATCTGCTCCACTGAAATCGCTGTTTAGTGAAATCATTGTCTAGCGAAAAGCATTTCCCTATTGGAATGCATTGAAACCTGTTTAATGCGTTCCAATGGGGAAGAATCGTGGTTGTCTAGCGAAGATCGGCCATAGGAAAGCCGCTTTGCGAACTGCCGATCAGCTGTTTAAGTCGCTGTCTTGCAAAGCTTAGGTCCCGAAAACACCTGTTTTGCAAGCACAGTGGGAGCTGTCAAAATCGTTGTCTAGCGAAAATCGGTTTGCGAAGCAGGGACCAAACACTGTCCAGCGAAATTCCCCCATAGGAATCACTGTTTTGCGAATTGCTATAGCCATCGCAAAAAGTCAATGTCTAGAGAAAAAACTGTCATGCGGGGTAACTGTCTAGCGAGGCACCACTGTATCTCCATTCCCAGCCCTACCAAAAACATCTGGGTTCACCATCCTGACTCTAACCTGAACCTCAAAGAGATCAGAGAACAAATGCCATGGAGCCAAATTTTCAAATTCATGAGTTTCCTACTAAAGTTTCCACATCTTCCAAAGCCATAAGAAAAATCTCAGTTGCACTGTGAATAGAATGACATGGAAGGCATCCATCAGGAAGGGATATCTCTTAAAAGTGTCAAATTGCACAAAGTTGCACAAAGGGGGATGCCCTCCCATTTGTGAAGGCTGCTGGTGGGAGGGAGGCCATACTTGAATACATGAGTCAGTTTTCCTCTCTCCATAGTAGAGAATCCATGGAGCCACTTAACCCTCAGAGGGAAGCAACATCTGAGAACATCTGAACTGTCCAGGATAATTTATGAGCAAATCTGATGATGACATATGTAGTCTTTTGGAATGGCTATAAGATACATTGGTGTCTGGATAGCTCAGTGGTTTAGGTATCTGGCTGCAAAGCTAGAGATTGGGAGTCTGATCCCTCACTATGCCTTCTGCAAGTAGAGCCAGCCTGTGTGGCCTTGGGCAAGCTGCACAGCCCCTCTGAATGCCCCCCCCCCGAAGAAAGGAATGGTAAACCACTTCTGAGTACAATCTACCTTGAAAACCAGGAAAATGGTAATCGTAGGTAGAATTGACTTCATGGCACATAATTATTATAAGATACACTATACTTA